GATAAAGTTATTTCTATTTTTTTGATATATATATTAACATTTTAAATGCACAATTAGAAATATATTGCATTTAAAATTTGAAAATTTTGCAGCTATTCTGAAAGGAAAGTAAGAATGCATAGCTGGCAAAATACACGTATACACCGCTTCAGATTGCATCGGTAATGTGGCACTGCTCTATAATTACTCGCCGTTAATTGCAGGGAAGAAATAAATTAATAATTGTTACTAGTCGCGCAGCGACTATTATTATTAGGTAAGCATTATGGATTCCTTTCATGCTTCATACAATGAATACACGAATAAGGATATCTATAATTCGACAAGGATAAGATATCTGTTAAGATTTTTAATTTGCACGTTACTTATACCGTAAATATAATATTGCTAAAACACTTTTTTATAGAAAAATTTATTTTCTAAAGCTATCAAAAAAGTTTAATTTAATTTAAATCGTTCATTGAATTTTGAAAAATTTCATACACTGTTCCTTACGCGGAATTTAGTAATAACTAAGCAATAATTAAGCAATAATTGTTAAACACGAATATTTATGAATAAATTATGTGTATTATAATTTCTTTGTTATTTTCTATCTATCAAAAAAGAGATAAAAATATATTGCGCAACTACAAAAAAATAGTGATTCAAACGAGATAAATTTTATCAAATAATTAATTAATTAATGAGAAACTAAAGCTTGCAAAAAAGGGAGCAAAGGCAACTTTGCCTAAAAAATTCTTGATCAAGCGCTCGTGCAATTTTAGGTCAGATAAGAAAAAGAAAAGAATTTATGTGGAACTTTGATTTTGATGAAGTTAGAGTTGCAAAAACATACAAAAGGTCGAGCGAATTAAATCTTAGCGAATCACTATTGTTAGAATCAATTCATTTTTTAGTGACAACGCAAACAAGGAGATATTTATCAATACGATGTACTTGTGCAAAATACATGCACGACAGACTAATTGATGTAATCTTGTAATACAACTCGCGCGTGTATATAATAATTAGCGCATATATAGAGAGAAAGTTTTCACAGCGTGAAAATATATAAACAGCACGATATAAAATTTAATTTCTAAAATGCAGAAAAAAATCAAGAATTTCTTGCACCGCATTTTTCACTTCGTCATTTAAATAGTAACGTATCAAATGATTTTAATCGCGTATTTTGCTGTTCTGAGAGAGATTTGATACCGGTATCGGTAACGGTCAAGGTAAGTTAGTTAACAAAACTCGAAGGAGGAATGCGTGCGTGTTTTCACGCGCGTTCCGCTTTTCGCCGTTGAATTATTGACCACATATTTACGAAAAGCGAAAGAAACGCCTGTCTTTGGAAAAAACGCGGTGATCAGCAGAGCAAGCTCACACCCAATTCTGCAATAACGGCGAGGAGGAGGGAGTGCACACCTAGGAGAAAGTAAGCCGCCGAAAGTTTCGTTTTCACGTCTGGCCCGGTCCTAAAGTGGCCGGTTCCGCCATTCCGGTCTGGTCGGTGTTTCGACCAGATTGCGAAACTCGCCACTATCGAGACTCGGATTGGAAATCATGGGAATGAATAATTATCATCTCGTGATCTCGTGATCTCAAACCCTTCGAAAGTTCGGACAACGCAATTCTGTTTTCTTTGATCAAGAGGAGTGAGAAACATAATTTTAACCGAGACTTTTTTACCATGAATTTAAGATATTTTTTGATCATGTTGCGATAAAGTAATAACATTATCTGCCCTCTGTCGCCCTCCTCCTAGCAGGGAGTGAAAGGGTCCAGGATCAACAGGTTGCTTGATTCAGTTCTCGATCGACCTTTAGTCAGAAAGCTGTGGCATCTTTGCTCGCATTAAGATCTCTCAACTTGATAGAATGTTCAATATGGATAGCGCTGAGAATCTATTTCGCGCACAAAGAAAAGACGATGAAACGATACTTTAAGTTGATCAAATGAAGAAAATAAATGATCACTTTCAAAGTTGATTATTCGATAAGAAGAATCGCATCTTATATACATCAATTGTATAGCAAAATTAAAAATTTTATCCGATTTACGATTAACTAAATTTTAAAGCGCGATTTTTTTGCGACCTCAAGTCTATAATGATATTCATATTATAATTCATATTCGGTCTTTCGTAATCTTCAGAATATACTAATGTTGCAATTTAATCATAAAAAAAGTTTTCAATCAGGGAATATAAGTATTCGACGAATCTCTCCTAAATAAAGGAAGATAGAAGAAGAGAAGGAATGAAAGAGAGAGAGAACAAGGGAGCTAAAAACGAACCAAGAGACAAATAAAAAGAACGAAGAGGAGAAAGGAATCCTTCCGTGACTCGCGAGAGTCCACGGGTCTCGTGGTTTCCGCGTTCGCACAACAGGCATCGCGTCTACCGGACCGGTTTCGGTGATTCAGTCTCGTGCCTTCACTACGTAACTTATGTAGAGCCCTCCCGCACTCTCTTTTTTTCTGTCCTCGTAGCGTACGACTTTTAAAGAAAAATAAGGGCGATTGATATAATCGATCAATAAATGTAACTTAAAAATGAGTATAAAATAATTACTTGGATATTTAGGAGTTACAATTTTCGCGTTTTTAACGAGAACTTACTAAGCGAAGTGCTAAAAAAACAAATTGATTACAAAGAACTGAAAGATATTTATGAGAAAAAAAGAATCCGATGAGATTTCCTGACAATCGTATGAAGACAGATTTCTCAGATTTTTTTTATGTAAATGAAAATACATTGTAATTGTAACATATTGCTATCTCCCGTGAGAACATTTTCTTTTTATATTTTTCTTTTTCCGCTTCACTTCTTCTATCTCTTTTCTTCCTCGTTTTATCCTTCTTTATCATTTTTTATCGAACCGCTCAGCTACGCCTAACTGCCGACGCTTCCGCGTTCGTCGGAGGTAAAAGAGAGATAGCGGGGTCCTTTTTGGATCCTGCCCACGGACGCCCGGCTCTGATGGCCCTGACCCAAAGCGCGAGACGCGCTTTCGCGGGGTATAATGGTCGCCACGAACATCTTGTCTTCGCTCTCGCAACTTTAAGATGAATATTTACGGCTGCGCTATTATTAGAACTAAAAAGATACTTTTCTTGTTTCATCGTTGCATAAATTATAAAGATATTTCAAATGCAAATACAAACTTCACTTTGCTGCACCAAACCAAGTAGTCGTAAAATGTTCTATAAAATGCTCCTCGCGTCTATTTTCATCTAATAATGGCCTAATTAAGTCGCGACGCCGGTCTCATCATTGGAATAAAACTGAAGCGCTATAAATGGAATGCGGAGAATAATGAATTTGAGCTGCATAATCTATGGAGATCGGCAAGTTTCTATTTTCATTGAATCACACGATGCCTGAAAAGTAAAACGCGCGGATGGCGGTAACCGAAAAGTGAGTCGGCTGTCCTCATTCTCCGCGGAGCGACATACTTCTTCAGGCGCGTTTCAATTGGCCGACCTGTGAAATTAACGATAACGGAGCGCTCGCTGAGTAAAAGCGAAAGTGGTGAAATACCTCTCTCGCGACGAGATAAGGAGACAGCGTTTCAAATCGGCCGGAGAGAGGTGCATTTAGGGAGGGAAGAAACAGCTCGATCTCCTCTCGATAGATGCACGCCGCATGGATGAGAATGGCGTCGAAATTGAAAAGCCAAGATCAATGCATCCGGCATTGGTTCACCGTTAAATAATCGTGCGTCTCGCGACGACGACGCGAGTCTCGTCTGTGGAAGCAATCGCGGCTTGGGAATCTTAGGACGAAGGTTGAAGGAATAAGACCGGAAAAAAGAGGCACGCCGGCCTACATATTTAAAAACGATCGGAGCGTGACAATTAAATTCGTCAAAGCGCTAGACGAGCCGGAGCGTAGCAACAGTGAGAATCGAGAGTAAAAGCCAACGCTGTTCTTCAGCGAGTCCGCGAGTCCGGCGAGCCAGGCGTCGGGAGAAGCGGTAAAATAAGTAGAGACGGAAGGCAAGCCACAGACGCGAGTGAAAAAGTGCGGCGCGATCAGCCGGAGCGTGCAGGCGGGCAAAGCAGGTAGAGGACGGTGGCGTTCTCCGAGCGAAAGGAAGAGAACCGCGCCGGGATCCTGAACATCAGACAGGGACACCGATAACGCTGGCTCGCTCCTAGGTAAAGAGAGACGTCGTCGTCGAAGTGGAGAAGGAAGAAACCGCAGCGATATGCGCGCTCGCGCGGCTTTTGCGCGACGAGTGGGGTCAGGTTTCGGATGTGTAGTGGGAGGTGGGGGCGGGAAAAAGCGGATGTTGGGGCGGAGGAGAGCGAGACGGAGCGTCGACGGGTGAGACAGAGAGGGAACGAGTCTCTCGAGTGGCGAAACGGCGTGGCGCTTGCGACTCAGGCCGGCGTCACATAGAACCCGTAATCCGTAATCCGCACCGAAAGTCCGCAAAAGTTACTAGGGATTGCGTCCGTAACGTTACGTGTGTTTTTTCTCCTTGTGTCCCATGGAGCCGTAAATACACACGTAACGGTATTACTATTTTTTATTTAACAAATTATAATTGTTTATTTGTATTTTATTCATAAGAAAACTACAGAATATATTATAATTTTAACAAAAATTTTAATTAAATCGTCAAATTTAGTTAAATAAATAAAATTAAAAAAAGCATTACTAGTAATAACTAGTAACTTTTAGTAACTTTTACGGAAATTTCATGGAATTACGGCTCCATGGGACACAAGGAGATAAAACACACGTAACGTTACGGACGCAATCCCTAGTAACTTTTGCGGACTTTCGGTGCGGATTACGGATTACGGGTTCTATGTGACGCCGGCCTCACAGTGTCTTTCCGAACGCCACACGTTCGAGATACGCACGCGAGTTTCCCTCTCCCTCTCTTTCTCTCTTTTTCTCTCTCCCTCTCTCTCTCTCTCTTCTTCTCTCCCTCCCTTCTACACCCGTGCGAACTCCTCTCGCGCGCGCGTGCTCTCTCTCTCTCTCTATCATACTTCAGTTATCCTCGCCGAGCGCCTGGGCGCTCGCGTACCTCCGTCTTCCTCGCTCCGTCCTTCCTCGTGCTGTCTCACTGCGCTCACCTCCAGGACGACGCCGAGGCACGTCGCCTGTGCCCTGCCCCCTCTCACCGAGCATGGAGCGGGACCAATAGGAGTGCCGCTTCCGGCAACGAAGGCGCTCCAATCGGCACACGGCGCCGACGGATAGACGCTGACGAGCGGCGATTTTGACAGTCGACAGTCGTGCTACTCTCGGTGTTCGCGGTTTAATCGCGCGCTGGACTTACTAGTACTCGCGACTCGGCTTAAGTCTGGGATCCTGTGGTTCGTGAAACGGAGCCGTGAATCCTGATCGCGATCGTCAACTCGCGCACTCGTCAATTTGACAACTCGCGAAAGTGTTTTCCATTTTTATTCGGATTATTAGATGTTTTCGGATCGGGATTTTTTTCGAATTATTGTGAGTGCAATAAGAAAGGTTGTTCCGATCGAGTCTCCTGGCGAGACGAGAGGATTAAACGCAATCACGTGGTGATTGAAAAGACAGCGGTTTGCTTCGAACAGAATTCACGAGGATATTTCGATTGATTGGACAATTGCTCGACAATTGCGAAAAATTCCAGAATTCTGCTGATCTGTAAAATAGATTCTATGAATATTCGTACAAAAAAGGAACTAGCCTTCAGCATTCAAAAATAACGGTAGATTTGCCGTGCTTGTTTTTAAAGTCAAACCTACTCGAAAAACGGGCGGACAGCCTCGGTGATGAATCGGCCGCGATAATACCGAGTGATTCTTTCGTTGATCAACACTACAAACATCGCACATCGCTCGTCGCATCGCGGATATATCGCGGATGCGAACGCGTCGTTCGCACCGATACGAGTGAAAGGAAGTCTCGGAGGACTCGTTATCCGCGTCGGACACTGCGGGAGAGGGAAGGGGACCGCGAGGGACCGGCAGAGTAATTAAATGCGCGCGTGAGGTAATCGGATGAGCTGCGCTATGGAGTATCAACAATTGGCGCCACCACCGGTACCAGCTGGAGTGTTGCACACCCAGGCGCATCATCCTCAGCATCAGCAGCAGCAGCAGCAGCAGCAGCCGGTGCAGCAGCAACAGCATCCGCACATCGTCGTCGCGCCGGCTCATCAGCAGCCGCAATCGCAGCAGCCACCGCCGCCACCCCTGCCGCCGACTTCTCACAGTCATCAGGTACACCCGCCGCTACCACCCATTCACGACGACAGCACCAGTTCCAGGTGGTCTCAGTATCAGCATTTATGGAGGCAGCATCATGTTTACATGAACGGTAGGCATGCCGCTATCACGTGTCGGGTCTAAACACAAATACGACGTTGTCTCGAAAACGAGACGAAATATCCGTCAATACACAAATTCCGCGGGGGACTGTTGTGCGTAGAAATCGACTTATGAATCAGACGGCATAGTGCGCATAAAGCGCTTGGAAGATTCACTATAGAACTAGCGGCGACGGAGAGGGAGAAGTCGTCGTCGAGAGTAGAAACGCCCACCTGTTGCTTACATTAGCCAGCCTACATTCGATCTGCAACTATTGCACGATGATCAACCGACTACACGCTCACAACAGCGCTCATTTATTTACTCGCGATGTACAAGGCGTATAATTCACGCTAAAAAAAACCATGTCCATGAATAATAATGATATCGAAAGTAGTAAATTTACAAGTCTTAAACTTTGCACTTTCGAAAGCAAAATATACGAAAGATACATGTACCTATACACAGAAACGTGTCGTGCAATAAAATTGCACAGAATGAAACATTAAATTGCAAAATTAATTTCTAATTTTTGCAACTCATTAATTCGCAAAATTACTTCATATATCTTCTATTTCATAATTATTTCCCAAAGTTTGGTGCAACAAAGTTGATTAGTTTCAAAGCTGTCGTTGCGATCATCGTTGAAAAATATCTTTTACCTGCGTCGTTTATCGCGAAACATATCTGTTAACTAGGCGGGTCGGGTTAATCGAACATGGAGCGTGAATGAATCACCCGTCACCATGTATGTAGACGTGTGAATTCACCTATGCATCTATCCTAGTTACGGCGGATTCGACTCAAGGCTCTTCGCATTTGCATCCTCCCACGTCCTCAGCGCGTTTCGCTTCTGCTCGCGTTCGCGCTCTTTCTTTCTCTTTTGTCCATTCATCTCTCTTTGTCGTGTTTCGAGTAGAATTTCCGTGGAAAAACCATTATTGTATAATTTATTTGTGTACGCTTTCAAGCCGTACGAACATTGGATTTAGAACGAAGCGCGCTCTATTCTATTTTCTGCTATTCTATTCTCCCATACGCCTGCTATATTTTAAACGGCAAGCATAACAAATTTACTTGCACAAACAGATTAAATATTTAAGCACGATACGAAAAGGTAGAAACAGCAAAATATTTGCCGTTAAATAGCAAAAGTCTGGTTGTCGATGCGCTCTTTAGCATCGCGGTATCGCGGATATTCGAAAGAACATTTGTCACAAATTCATGGACGCGATCGCATTAATATTCAATATTTGTTGAATATTAATGAAATTGATAGCTCTATTCACGATATCGCTAAAAATTTTGGACGATGCTAGAAGTCGTTTCTACGAGACTAAACAAAAGTCGTTCAACCCGGTTAAATAAATGAAAGTAACATTTCACCTCGCTAAATCACAAGTCTACTTCGATCAGGAATTTCCTGCATGAGTTCTCATCATAATTTCGCATTATCGAACATAAACGCACATCGAGCATGACGTTTCAAGACATGCGTCGAATTTTAATGACACGAGGAAGTACACAATAGCGACAGATGTCATAGCTTTTTTATACTTTTATCTTTATCGATTTTATTTATGTTCTCTTTTCGCTTCTAGCGCCGGCAGTCTTATATTACGCACAAAAGTTATAAATTATTAATCTGTGACATTTATAGAGACGTAAATTTATAGAGATGTAAATTTTCTACAAAATAAAAAGAAAATTGATATCATTAAGTCTTTAATCTGACAAATAAGTTTTTCTGGTGCAGTTTCAACATTTATCTAAAATTTAATATGTATTCAACGCGCAACAAAATCGGTTTATATAGATTATTTTTCGCTTAAAATGTGATTAATTTTGAGTATTTACGAATTAATGCCGATGCAGCTCTTGACTGCACGCTTGTTGGAACAATATCCATGTCCGCGATTCGTCATATTGTCATCGAGCACAATAGATTAGAATCGCGTTTTAGGATGTACAATGCGAGGGATGGGTCAGCCTCTCCTATTTCTAAAGCATATAGTATTACATTGTTATATTGGTTCATCGCTATAGCACACACATTTGTGCGCCAATTCATTGCACGAAACTCTACTTTTCGCGAGGTTTACTAAAAAAAATCACGTGACACTTTTTAGATATCATAATGCGAAGTATGTGATGGAAAAGATGCAAAGGAGCTCAAGAGAAAAAAATGTTTATATAAACGAATAATTAAATTTGCATTTTATAGGAATCAGAATTAGGAATCATATAGGAAGAAACTATTCGAAAGTCTGAAAAATATTTCAAATTTGTGGACGTATCAGATGATTAATGTCTTAAATGTGTAATTGTTTACAAAGGAATAAATTTTTATATAAATTAAAAGAGAATATATTTTTATCTACATTAAACATTTTTCGCAAAGCAGCATTTTTTGGTCATCAGCGATTCTGTTTGCATTTCTGACTGAGATTCTGAATGTATTATTGATTTATCGAGAAAGTGTGCAAATACAACAGCAAATATTAGCAAATATTTTGGACACTCGAATTGATCGTATAGAAAATTATCGGGCGCAAAAGCTGGCTGGAATCGTTGTGACGTAAAGACGACAATCTAGTCGATATTGAAGCGCATCTCGAACTAACGAACACAGTTTCCAAGTTAACTCGAGTGCCGACCTACGACCTACGAGATATCGTTCTCGACCTTGGTGATGTTACACTCCGATTAAAATTCCACTTTAAGAATCGCGGTAGACACGAGTTTTTTATTGGAAAGGAGAAGTTTGATATGTCATCAAACGAAAGAAACAGAGATACACGCCGCAAAAGATCCGCAAATGCCCCGCGCGTCTATGTGTGTGCTATTTATAAAGTATAGTCACAAACAGTATCCGAGACGTATGCAAAAGAGCATACTTGCGTTTTCTTTAATAGGCACAAAGTTGCAATGTGAGATCTTATGCATATAGTCTATTATGCTGATGCATGTACGTATATCGTACATGTGATTCGATAAGACAAATAAAAGTACAAAGTATATCGCGCTTTGCGTGTACATAAATATGCGTATACATGCGAAACGCTTTTTTTTTCTACACGGCAATACCGCACTGCACTCAGAGCACGAGTGCAATCCGCGTGCTCTGCCTTTTAAAGAAGCCGATCCGCGAAATCCGATTTCGCCAGACAGCTTCGTGATCGCTAGAGACGATTATTCGGATTACTTGTTCAATACTCACCCTGATCCGTTGAGTATTTCTGACGAATCTCTGGCGACGTTTGAAGGTCCTGTAACAAATATTAATTGTTAATTACTCAAAAACGTTGCTTTTTATACACGTAACAATATATTTGTTTAATTATTTGCATGTGATGCACGCATGCACGTGACATGCGGAGGCTTTCTTTCTCAATCCTATTATACAATTGCAAATCTGCGATTTAGCGGAAGCCAGGCACATACTCGCCCGACTTTTAACAGCATTGTTAAGCTAATGACTAATAGCTAACAACTGACGAATCGCTTTTATCTTTCAGGTAAATTTCATTAGCGAAACAGTAGGTCGAGTCAAATTTGTATGCTAAATCACTCGAATCACGTAACTATTAAAATTTATTAAAATAGAGGATTTAATCAAACGTGCTTTCTTTCATCAATAATCTGTTATTAGTTGCCAATTGAACCGAATAAGCGAAAATTGTATTCGTGGGCTTGCGAATTAGCTAATCGTTAACTATACGTCAGACGAATAATTATACTGGCGCCATACGCCAAGATAATTTTGTAACAGAGAGAGCGCATTGTGTAAATTTCTTTTTTCGAACTGTTCGTGCAACAAATACTGTGACGCTTGCGAGAATCTTAAGTCAAGACAGTACATTTGCGATTATACTTTTCGACAAAAGCAAAATTGCAGGAATTTGGTATTCAGAATTATGGAAGTCCATGTTGCTGTCTAACAGCTATCGTCTCATCGTTATCATCTAATATGTAATGGCTTAAAAGTTCGAAGTTGTGATATATACGGTCATATTTTTTTACAAGTATTAATAAATCTAAGCAAGAGACTTCAATAATATTATTAATAAATATTTGCAAAGATCACATTATTTTTTACGTGATTATTTCCGGTTTAATACAATTTAAAAAGTAACTTTCCTAGAAATTTTGATAAACCGGAATGCAAAATCCATCTTTTGGGTCAAATCTGGGTTTGGATCGATGACTGGCTCGCGAACCTTCCTGTCACAATTGCACGTTAGCATCGACTGTAATCTAGCTCTCACCGATGATGAATTAACAGTACATAAATCAAATTCTCTCGTTATCAGACGACCCGACAGTATGATATCAAAGTCTTTTCTGAGAGACCCCGATGATAAACTTTTCTCTGGCTCTGTACAGTCGACTTTAATATCGATACATTCTCGATTATATCTTATAACATTTCATTGCAGCGCAGCAAAATGGAATAATAATTGCAATAGTCGTAATTTGAATACTTGTGAGCCCGTCAATGCAAAATACGCTAAATCCCGTTATTATTCAACCATTCAAGGTAACCTCGCCGACTAGGTCAGCAAGGCCACGGCTGCCTTTCGATAGCTTTCCGATCACTCCTATCGCTTAAAATCAAATCTTGAAATGTGTAAATGAATCTTGTATGCGCGGAATACTAGCGCTCGGCAATAAAATACTACAAAATTTGCAATGTAATAGAAATGTAGATTACATGTAGTTGCTGATTGCTCTCAGACAGTATTCTAATTAATCCTAACAGTATCCTGTTGCTTCAATATTGTTTAATGAACAGTTTGTTCAATAAATATTTCTTCAAATTTGTTAATCGAGTCAGCCATTCTGCCTGTCAATCAAAAATCTTGGCGGAAAGTTGTAATCTCGCGATTGTAATTTTCACGTATACCATCACGTGTAGGAAAAGTGCCCGATCTCACTCGTCAACATCGCGAGACTGTTTCCATAGCGCGAACCTGTGCGCATAGTGGAAACCTGGCTGTTCAACCTCAA